CCCCACTAGTAGCAAACAGCAACACACTATGCTGCAGACCTGGGTAAAATACAGACACACTTACTTACTCTCTCCCTCTACCGTCAGGTACATTAGGCGGAGAGCAGTCGACGCCACGTTTGCCTGTCTCTGAACACTTCCTCCAATTTCGGCAAATCCAGGCCCTGGGTGATTGCCTCATCCCTTATTGTGCCTCTATAGCTTCCAGTTAGTCTTCCTCGTTTTCGTTTTCCAGTTTGTTTCCAATATCAGGTCTGATAGGGCAATCTTGTCTTCGGCATTCTTAGAACATGTTCTAGATATGTCCCCATCTTCTCCTTTTTATGGTTGTGTTGATATCTTCAATTCAAGCTCTTTCCAACACTTCATTATTAGTAATAATTCCATTCCATTTTATTAGTAAAATTTTTAAACATAACCACTGCCTATTTTCACAACGGTTGTTCTTGGGTGTGTTCAGACCGCTATCCAGTTATTGGGGAATAAATATATTTTAAGCTATGCATTATAATACAAATATCGATATCGTATTAAAACTTCATATACTATCAGGATCATTTGAAATCTTCCTGCAATTAAAGGTAAAAACTACCACAATATGAAGGAAATTAACTTTAAAGCTGCTATATCGGTGGGTGATATTCATTGGTTTATTCCGGGGACGTAGTAAAGGCAAAAAGTTTGGATGGCAGGAGCATCACAGTAAAGTTGTTTCCTTCGCTCTATAACATGGCCAAATTATAGCGTCATTTCTTTACAAGTTTTCGACTACTGTTTATTGTCTCCCCCCCCCCCCGACCTTTTTTATACCTCTTACTATTAATTTATTTACAAACTGGTGTTCATATAAGTAGTTGACCACATGGTAGGCTCTATGTCTCTTTACAGACAAGGGTTTCAGTTAAATCTACATTGCATTAAAAAGTATGTTTGCACATATTATTATATTATATATGCATGAATACTCTAATTTTACATGATGTGAAACAAACGTTTAATCATTCTCTTATTTTGCCACGTATGGTGAAACCAGGAGATAAATGTTTCCATCTTTGCCCAGCGACAACGCGCTATTACTGCAATTATAACCTTTCACCCCAGAGTCCCTTATATCAGTGCACACTGCCAATCGGATTCATCGGACGGAGTCGGGGCCAGCTAGATTTTTCTTTCATGGATAGGGGCAAATCAGCCAATTTGGCACAATACAACTGATTCGACTATCAACCTTTAAAAACAAACGCGTCTGACATTGAAGGTCAAAGTGGAATTTAATTAAAATCGGTCAATTTGCCAAAATTGTGTTGACTTTTACCCCACTCACAAAGGACAATCAGGCGAACTCCAACACGAACCGATGAATCCGATTGGCAGTATGTACGAAGAAATATTAGACCACATCTTTGTTTCACAAGGCTCTACAAGTGAAAATAAAAACGAGGGCGAAAGTCATTGCAAGAGTGCAGAAAGATCCCATGAGAAACAGGCACCGCCTGACGCGGTAGTAAGTGCGGTGCTGCAGTCGCCAAGGCTTGACCATAACCCTTGACCTGGGCAGAGAGTCAAGGTCGTTTGTGAGGAGGTATTGAGCGAGGGGGTGGCTGGGTTTCGACCATCGCTTTTTTCTGGCTCTGGTAAAAGGTTTGGCGGTGTTCGTAGAATGAGAGTTGTTCAACGACCGACGGGATGACTTTTTCTTGACACTAGGACACTTTGCAGCTATCAGCGGTCTCGCAGACCTGTTGAGAAAAACAAAACAAAAACAAAAACTACAAGCAATAACAACAACCCCCAACAAAAAAAAACACACAAAAAAAGCAAGCAGTTTGGATGGTGGATTAAGAACATCACAGTTATATTTTGTCTCACTGGATTATTTTATGGCCACATTACCCATTCTTATTTCC